ACTGTCTGTGTATTTTAAGGATATAAGTAAATGTGCTACTGCTATATGCATGTTATTTTAAGCTTGAATGGTGAACAATAGTCCAAACAATAAGTGGAATTGATGGATTATCCAGATTGAGATCAATCTCAAATCTAAATAAATAGTTTCCATGAGAATTGACACATATTTTTTGTAACAATACATCCTTGTTGGTTTGATGAGAAAAAGTTGAGAATATAAATAAGTAATCGTCCGTGTTGTGAATATTGGTTACTCTTGTTATAGAGGTACATACCGTCAGTTTTTCCCTTATATTGTGAAGGTTTTGTGTTAGTTAAAAATACAAAACAAGTGCCTTGCATAAACATAGGTGTGGTTTGTTCTAATGAGTTCTACAACTTCGTTTTTTTCTAAAATGGAGTATGCCCATGGGAAAAGTTAATACCATGGTATTTTATTGTGTTAATTGTACATAGTGTCAATATATATTATTTATTAATATAGATACTCTGAAGTATATATCTGATCATATATATATATGTATACATACATATATTGGTTTGCTTTTCATTCTGTTCTCGTTCTTATTTTACATCATTGTCAATTACTATTGCACTTAAAAAATATGAAGTTTGGTTAATTAAATTAAAATCTCTGTAGTAGATGATGTTGTTATGAAGATGGTGAATTTGATCAGCCTTAGTTTCACGTATTATTATTATGATTTCATTTCACATTTGTAGGTAGATAATGATAGTGCTCCTCACCTCTCATCTTAACTATTTATTTTATTTTTTTTGAAAGGCCTTCATTTTTATTAGTTACTTAACTGGCATTTTCAAAAATGGATTCATACATTATATGCATGTCATTTTGACACACTTTTAACTTGTTTAATTGACAACGTAGCATTTAGGAAATGGTGGGAAGATCTGCAGAACGGACTTGCAGACATGAAAACAATGATGGCTGATATAAAAACCATCAAGGCTGATGTCTCTGCATTTTTCGAAGAAACTTTAAAGCATTTACTGGCCCATCGGTAAGTTTTCCAAATTTGTGTCTTACCCGTAATACTACATCACATTGTGTAATCGACGAGGAATTATTAATGTTATTCTTATTCTTAATAGGCCACACCTTTCATCGAAAGAATTTCTGAGTCGCCGAGCCTGATTTCGAACCACCTATGATGGTATGATGCCTTGAAACCCTGGAAAATAAGAATTAATCAATGCAGTGCTTTCGAGGAATCTATCAATGTATTTAACTCAAGGGCAATACCCGTTGTGGGTTGGAAGCCGTGTGCTTTTATTACCCCGTACGTTGGAAAAGCAAGTTGTTTATAATGCTCTGCCTACTCCCGGTTTCTGGCCTAACGATCCAGGTTTTTAAAATAAAAGTGGTCACTAGGGTGTTCGTACCGTTTTGCAAATGATGTGATAGTTTAGGTTTTGTGTGGCATATGATACATGGCTTCGTAATCTTATTATATTCAAATCGATGCATATGTCTATTAGATTAAAATGTAGGTTCACAATAGAGGGGTTTTACCTATGCTAATATTATGGATTTGATCAATCCTGTTCCATTCATAAATTTACTCGTTGCTGAAATTAGTATTTTAATGTTTTTGACGATTGATTCATTACCAATAATTTTTTAGGTGTTTCATTGAATTAAAAGGGGTGGGATCATCAAGGAAATTACTAGTTTGTGTGTTTATGTGGCTAATTTATGGGTAAAAACCTTACATTGTATTACTTGTTGAAATGTCCATACACATGGATATTGAGTGGGCAAGTTACATTTGGATGTGTGAAGGCAACTCGAGGTTATTGTTCTCAAGTGTCTTCATATGTACAGTGAATTACATACTCACATATTTTCCTTGAGAATATTGTAGGTGATTCACTTTTCCTTGTCAAGGTCTTTGTGGCATTCGCCTTAGTCCTAGACACACCCCTCATTCTAGAACGACTTCAATTCATTATGGCATGTTATACATACAGTTTGAACGCGTGGTAATATATACGGTGAACTATATACTCACAAATTGCACTTGTGAATATTGTAGGTGACACACTTTCGTTTGTCAAGGTTTTCGTGACATCTGCCTCAGTCCTAGACACACCTCTTATTTTTCCGACCATTGTTGGGGCGACTACCATTCGCGACGTTGTCGATGAAGATCCTATTAAGTGGAACTACAAGGACGTACGGATCTACTTTCATACCTTTCATATATTGATTTTCATAACTTAAAAAGAAATAAAAGTTAAACTATATATCCTTCTATTGGCAATTGCAACACATGCGCCACCCGTGAAGCATATTAACCGATTGCCTTATGGATTGCATGTCGTAGATGTGTTTGGATGGTAAGTTGTTATGAATATGTGACCTACCTACGTATTAAATGCATAGACATTTGGAATTATATTTTTGTAGTGAGAATTGTGGTTATGGATTGATGGATAGCCCTATTTTTTGATTATTAGGTTTGATGTTTGAAATTCTTGCGTTTTGCGGAACATAATGTCGTAGCGGAGATGTTGCTAGGCTTGTTTGATGAATTACTTTATTTTGTTGTTAGGTGATGGAAATCGACTAGTAAATACTGTTATGTTAATATCCTATGTTGGGAAGCAGATTTTATGTTGTTTATTGTTTGCAATTATGGCCGATCGTGATATTTATAGCATGATTGTATACAAAAGTTCTTTCGGTATAAGGAAGATCACAAGAGGTCAATTTGTTACGCACAATTTCAACTACATCAAAACTACTACTTTTTATGAGACGCTATATTTCCATAACAGAAGGATGAAATGGCGTAGCAAAAAGTGGTTTTTGGATTTTTTTGTGACGGCCGATTTCGTGACCATATTATGGGTTTAATGACGTAACAAAAAATCGTAACAAAAATCGTACTCTGAAAAACGGTCACTCTAAGTTTTTTGTAACGCGAGGAGCTTTCGTAGCAAATATCTTGACTAAAAGCCCTACCACACGTGCGGAAAGCTCAACATTTGATTATGAGAGAAAATTCGTAACAAACGTCATAACAAAAACCCTACCATAAGGAGCGTTGACCGACAGTAATAGTTACAAAAATTGGCGTGGCAAAAAACATTCGTTACGCGAGTATAGATTACGGATAAAAGTCGTCACTAAGGCGTAGCAAATACGCAAATTGCACAAAAAATAGCTTTTTGTTACGATTTTTCGGCCGTAGTAAAAAATTGTTTTTGTGGCAAGATCTTGATAGCTCGAAATAGTATGCATTTTATTTTTATATCATATGTGATATTTGATTGAATTATACCTAAATTATATACGTATTGTTTATTTTCGACATGTAGGAGAGAAAAAGCAAATTTGGTGAATTTAAAGAAAAAAAAAAAAAAAAAAAAATCAGCATTGGACAATGAAGTTAGTCATGACCATGACTAACCACATCCTCATGACATGGAAATTTAATTAAAAGCCCAAAAGGCCAGCTACAAAAAATTATGTCAAAATTAAATTAAAAAGAATGGAGAGAGACACAAAAAGAGGGGGGAGAACGACAAGGAGCAGATATGCACGAGAGCAGGAGACTGACAGATTCATAGATCGCGCAAGAGCAAATCGACAGAGAAGATTTCCTTCAGACTATGACTTTATATTTCCCTATTGTTCTTTGTTATTTGATTATGGAGTAGATATTTTTCTGATTTGAGGGATGATAATGTTTTGGTTCTTGTGTTTTGAAAAATCTTGATTTTCTTTATAAAAGTTCTTTTTTTATTATCAATATTTGTTTAATCATGAAAATAATGTTTATACTTGTTATATTGATTGGATATTTTGGTACCGATATTTAAAGTAGTCTAATAATCTAAAGTTAATTCAGGTAGGATATCGGTAATTGTATTTGTACGTGAATGGGCGACAACCAGGTTGAATAGTTCCTTCCCGGGGGTTAGACAATTTAATCTAATTGCTCCTCTTAGGTAATAATTATTTGAATTAGGTTTTTCTAGATTAGAATGCGATTAGACAATATTTCTTATGGGTGCACATAGGTTTATTAGCTTAATTAGGAGTAGTTAACAGTCGTACCCTAATTGCCTACACTGTAAGGAAAAATTGGTTGCCAGAGCTTGTTGATAACTATAACCAATTTATTCGTACTTTAATAAGAACTAACTTTATTGAATCAATGATAAAACACAAGTGCCATAACTACATCATCCCTTGAGCCAAACATCCTCTTAATATAACACAAAAGGGTAAATCACAGAATCCCTGTTGAGACAATCCCTTTCCCTGTACTATATTAAATTGTGATCACAGAATAGGTGAATTATTTAATTGACCGTGCGACAGGTCAATTTTTGGCGCTGTTGCCAGGATTGACACTTTGTTTTACTCTTTTGTGTTATTTATTTGTTTTATTTTCATTTATTCTCCTGTTGATGCCCCGTTCATCTCGTACATGTGAACTGAGATTTAATCTTGAGATCGAGAAGGTTGAGCGGAAGTTGCGAAAGGAAGTCAAACAACGAAAAGCTGCTCAGGTTGCAAAGCTGGCCGATTCTTTAAACCACCTCAAAATCTCTAGCTCTAGCGATTCTGAAAGTGACCAAGAAACTGTCATGGCTGAGGATACCCGCACTTTAAAGGAGTTGCTTGCTCCCAACTTGACGCAGCAGCCCCTATGCATTAATTTTCCAACTTTGAATAACTCTATTGCTTTTGAACTTAAATTTGGCTTAATTCATTTATTGTTTTCTTTTCATGGACTTGCAGACGAAGAACCTCAAAAACACTTGCAAGAGTTCGACATGGTGTGCTCCAGCATGAAACCACCGGATGTTACTGATGAACAGATCAAACTTAGAGCCTTCTCATTCTCACTCAAAGATGCTGCAAAGGATTGGCTCTACTATCTCCCACATGGAAGCATCAACACGTGGAACGACATAAAGAAGAAATTTTTGGAGAAGTACTTTCCGGCTTCCAGAGCTGCGATTCTGAGGAAGGAGATATATAGTATCAAGCAAAAATTTGGTGAAACGCTCCATGAATATTGGGAGCAATTTAATAAGTTTATCATTAAATGTCCAGAATATCAAATTCCTCCATAATTATTGATTTACTATACTATTGTATTAACAAAATCAAAGGACACGCTATAGGGCTAAAAGTACAGCAGCAAGCCATCAAACTGGAACAAAACTAAGTCTAAGAAATGATAAAAAGTTACTAAAAATTGATTAATCAACAATACATGAGAGACTATTATGATATATCCAAACTAAACTTATGCGACATGAAGAACATAGACTAAAATTAAACACAACAAGCAAAGTAGCAATAAAAATTAAAAAAGCAAACTAGGAAATGAGCGAGCAATAGAATGTACATGTTGACAATTAATAGCAACAAACCAATTTAAATTAAGTAGACATGCAGGAGGATAAGTTAATCTAATACAACAAATGAGTAAGTTTATTTGAGATCTAAACTAACCTATCTAATAATTAACACGTGTTCTATATTTAACAAGTTAGCAGACAATCTAAGATATATCAATAATATCAACTAGCTACCCATTTCATTAAAATACCTATTTTAATCTAAACTATTATCCAAATTACTATTTAAATCATTCCCAATCATAGATATTGTATAAATACCTCACAAAAATAGAAAGCAAAAATAAATGGTGAATTACCTGTCCAAAAGGAACAACAAGACATATTGTGTAACTTAATCCATCGCCAAACAAGAAGAAAACCTAAAAAGAGAGTAGCATTTTCAGATCGGTATGTTTCCCTTACAAGAAAGGTTATTCAAACGCTCAAATTCAGCCAATATGACTGACTGCCTTGAGTTAATCGTTGTTTTTTCTCTTCTCTTTCTTAAGGAAGTTCTAGTCTTTGTCTGCAATTATCTTTTTTAAGGGTTTCTTTGAATAATAGTGACAACTCTGTGAATAATGTTCGATATTATAGTATATATTCAAAAATAAACTACCTTAAAATAAAACCAACACTTTTTACAAGATACTTTTGAAAGTGCATCGTGATATATGACCTTGATGTGAACATCTGCAAAGAAAAATCATTTTAGAACTTGGTTATTTTCTAAAGTCATAATATTAGGGAAAATAATAATAAAAAAAAAGATTGAGAAGAAAACATAGATAATACGCAATACTCTAGCACCTTGCTCAATTATCTCGGGATTAGGGATTGTTGTGTAACTTCTCATGTCCCACATTGGTCATGTGATAGAAGGGTGGGGGCATTGGCTCCTATAAATTGACCCATTTGGATTCTATATTAACATATGACAACAAACCTTTTTTTTCTTTAGTAACTAGAGATAGTGAAATTAAGATTTGGTGAGTTGTTTTGAGGAGGGTTTTACAATTTTGTCCGTGCAAAAATTGTAATAAATATTTTAGTAGATTATCCCATTTTGGGATTGTGGATGTAGATCTGTTGTGAGACCGAACCACGTTAAATTTTCGTGTTTTGCTATTTTTTTTCTCTATCTTCTCTTGTGTATTCCCAACAAGTGGTATAAGGGCCGGTCATTTTTAAGCGAGATCTTGGTGAAGGGAGGAGAGAAGGAGCAGGAGGTGTTTCAAGAGAAGTTGATGGCACACCAGCAGTCCAACTTGCAGTTCCGCAGTGGGTTCCGGCAACACACCAGATTTCAGCTAGAGAGGTCGGTTCTGCCTGATTTGAGTTCCTGGTTTTATTTTTGTGCCTCAGTTTATATGGTTGTTGGAAGTGCTTGTTTATTGGAGAGTTATTAAGCAATATGTCCACTACTTTGAAATATGAGGTTCCGCTCTTTGATGGAAAAAATGATTTTACTATGTGGCAAAGCAAAATTCAACACTATTTGGTGCAGCAAGGTTTTGATGTTGCCTTCGAAGATGTAAAGCCAGAAGGTATGAAAGAAGGTGATTGGAGTTTGATCCGAAGAAAGGCTGTTAGAACGATTCGATTGGCACTCACCCCGCAGATAAAGGTTACCGTGTTGACAGAAACATCGCCGAAGAGATTGTGGGATACTTTGGAGAGTAAATTTGTCACGAAGACGTTGACTAACCGTCTCATTATGAAGATGGAGCTATACTCTTTGAAGATTGAGGAATGATGTAATATAATTGAACCATGCTAACAACTTTAATGGGCTAGTATGTCGACTATTGAAGGCATAAGAGGAAATTAAATAGGCAAAGCAAGCATTGCTCTTGTTAGTTTCATCATCCAAACCCTACAACCTATTGGTGCAGTCAATGTTGGTTGGGAAAACTACATTGAAATTGAATGAGATGATAACAATTTTGAAGAAGAATAACAAGATAATGGAAAATGAAGACACTTTTAAGGAGACCCGACCCGGACCCAACAAGGGCACACAATACCCGACCTGGACCCGGACCCGATACCGGAATAATTGGACCCGACCCCAAATAAATGAGTCGGGTCTCGGGTCTACCCGGACCCATTGCCATTCCTACTCGGGATCACTGTGAACACACTTTTAAGAAGAACTTTAAAAGAATCAACAATTTTGGGAAGATAGCTACACAACAAGCAATACAAAAAATAAATCAATTTCAAGGTTTTACTTACTAATAAATATCTTAAACAAACCTGAAACTAATGCCTTAAGCACCTAGGTTAACCAACCTCATGTTCAAATTCTTTAAGTGTTGATAGAAGTGAGGGAGACCAAACTTGGCAGACTCCACGGACTAGTGATACCAGGAAGACTCAGCGGCAATCCGCAACTAGGGGTGGGGAGGCGTGGAGGCCAGGAGCAACATATGATGGGTGTAATCAACTTAGAGAACCATGTATCTATATTTCCAAGCATTTACTTAAAATTGCTTTCTACTATTCATTGAAAAAAAAATGAAATATGCATTCATATGTTACACTTTAAAAACGAAACTCATCCAAATGGACTCAATGCAACAATAACTCAACCAAACTAGTGTATTGATTCCTAAGACATCAGAAGGGCAAGTATTTGAGACTGTCTTAAGGTGGACAATATTTAGATCTTGTCCTTGTCCTTGATCCATGTTGTCTTAGGTGTAAATAATGCTCTTTACAAGTCACTCAGGAACATGTGTTTTTTTATGTAGTAAGTACATACGGAGACATGTTAAAATTGAAGTTGTAGATTGAAAGAATCTAATCTAGCCCTCCTAATTAAGAGCCGAGCACAAAGACACCCCAAAACATTAAAAGAGAACAAGATAAAATAAAGCCATAGTTCCATAACCATCAGCCACCAATAGGATACCAGACACCAGAATAAGAACAATTATGCCATTCAAACACCACGAAGCTTAAAGAATATGTGATCAACAAGAATCAATAGGGAAAGAAAGCATTAAGTTCCTTTATCCAAAGTAATAAACTTACGGTATCAAGTCGTTTTGTAGATATCTTGACAAGGTGACAACTAAACTAGACCATAATAAATGCAATTCATAAATAACAAGATTTACAAGCATATGAGACAAAAATAAAAGAAATTTAGGGGGATTTGACAGTTCATAAACTTCATCAGGGTATAAAGTGTGATTGAACTGAAAATGTATCATGCAATTCAGAATGCGGTCCACATATATAACACTGGGAAAAATTAGAGATCAATGAAGCTTCATAAAAGATGAGCCCTTCCATAGATATTTAGTGCTATGAAGCTTGTTAGGCTAATCATACATAATAAAAAATATGTGTACTAATAATGGATTCTCGATTTTTTCTTTAAATGCACAAATGCAAAGCAATATGATTTTTATGTGATTAACTGCTACAATAATGTATTGATACCAACCCATTAATGAAAGAACACATGTTGAAAGCAAAACCATCTAACTTTATACTTTTTGTTAATCGAACAGAATTTCAGCTACCAAGAATGAAATATTACGTAAAAACATCATGATAAGACAAGATTCCCAAGTGTGTCACTGTAGGGGTACCAAGAAATATGTAGAGTCTGCAGAAACTAGTTTTTTTTTTTTTAATGAAGTAGTTTTCTGCGCGGACCGAAACAGTCATGTAAAGAATTTGAGTTAAGCAATGATAATAGTAACTGTGTAATATCTTATATATATATATATATCCTTTAAACACATATATATGAGAAGTCGTACAGATGGCTACCTGTTGTTACGTAAATGTCCTTTTTACTGTAATATTTGTTAGTTTAGGCAGTTCTACTTGCAAGTAATATTGTAGTGGAGTATGGGTAAATTGGTCAATTAACCCCACTGTTGTCGGTTATACTGGGAATATTGGGTGTTGTTGAGGTTTGTGTTTTTCCAACTCTATTTGTTAATTTGTAGTGATTTACTTGAAGAAAATATATTGATATGGATATCATTTTGTGCATCGTAACATTTACTTTAATACAATAATATTTTTTATAATTTCTGAAACCTATGATATATTAAAAAATCCATTTGAAACTAATGCAGGTGTTTTCGAGTTTGTTGGACACTCAAAACAAAAAACAATTGCGGCCGAATGGACGGTTGATCAATACATACATATATTTATATTATATATATATTTTTTTGAGATTTAAAATTGTGCCTGAATGGACGGTTCACCTCTTCCTCCTTTATATAATGTAATTTCTAAAAAATATATAGAAATTACAAATTAATTTAGATAATTATGTACATAATAAAATATAAAAATTAGAGAAAAAAAATATAGTATAGTATAAAAGAATATTTTTAAAATAGGAAAAAAAAATTGGACATTTATAACCCAAAAACAAAATAATATTAAGTATAATGTAAAAGAAAATTTTTAAAATAGGAAAAAAAACTCTTTAAAATTGATGGGTTGGACATTTATAACCCAAAAAGTAAAGAATATTATAGTTTCTTTGTGACCGACTCTACGTTTCGCGTCCTTGTAAGTCTACTAAATCAGCCGTCTGGTCTCCAGTTCTAATAGCAACCGACTTAAGGTTCGTCGTCCTTCAATAATTGTAAAATTTTATATTATTAAAAAAAGCAATCCCAATTGACTGGAAGACTCTCCTTTTTCCAACCGACTAATTCGGTCAATCCGACTGGAC